GAGGGATTTTCACACAAATGGCTGTTGAATTTTGTCAAAGGCCTTTTCTGCATCAAGAGATAATCATGTGGTTTTTGTCTTTGGTTCTGTTTATGTGGTGAATTACATTTATAGACTTGCATATGTTGAACCAGCCTTGCATCCCTGGGATGAATCCTACTTGATCATGATGGATAAGCTTTTTGATGTGCTGTTGCAATCAGCTTGCCAGTATTTTATTGAAGATTTTTGCATCTATGTTTATCACGGATGTTGGCCTGAAGTTTTCGTTTGTTGTTGAGTCTCTGCTGGGTTTTGGTATCAGGGTGGTATTGGTCTCATAAAATGATTTGGGAAGGATTCCCTCTTTTTGGATTATTTGCAATAGTTTCAGAAGGAATGGTACCAGCTTCTCTTTGTATATCTTGTAGAATTCAGCTGTGAACCCATCTAGACCTAGGCTTTTTTTGGGGGTGGTAGGCTCTTAATTGCTGCCTCAACTTCAGATCTTGTTATTGGTCTATTCAGGGTTTCAACTTCCTGGTTTAGGCTTGGGAGGAGGAAAGTGTCCAGGAATTTATCCATTTCTTCCAGGTTTACTAGTTTATGTGCATAGAGTTGTTTGTAATAATCTCTGATGATGGTTTGAATTTCTGTGGAGTCTGTGGTGATATCCCCTTTATCATTTTTTATTGCATCTATTTGGTTATTCTCTCTTTTCTCTTTTATTAATCTGGCTAGTGGTCTATCTATTTTGTTGATCTTTTCGAAAAACTAGCTCCTGGATTTATTGATTTATTGAAGCGTTTTTAGTGTCTCCATCTCCTTCAGTTCTTCTGTGATCTTAGTTATTTCTTGTCTTCTGCTAGGTTTTGAGTTTTTTTGATCTTGCTCCTCTAGCTCTTTCAATTTTGATGATAGGGTGTCAATTTTAGATCTCTCTTTTCTTCTCATGTGGGCACTTATTGCTATATATTTTCCTCTAGAGACTGCTTTAAATGTGTCCCAGAGATTCTGGTATGTTGTGTCTTCATTCTCGTTGGTTTCGAAGAACGTCTTTATTTCTGCCTTCATTTCATTGTTTATCCAGTGAACATTCAAGACTCAGTTGTTCAGTTTTCATGAAGCTGTGCGGTTCTGAGTTAGTTTCTGCATTCTGAGTTCTAACTCGATTGCATTGTGGTCTGAGAGACTGTTATGATTTCCATTCTCTTGCATTTGCTGAGGAGTGATTTGCTTCTAATTACTTGGTCAATTTTAGAGTAGGTGTGATGTGGTGCTGAGAAGAATGTATATTCTGTGGATTTGGGGTGGAGAGTTCTGTAAATGTCTATTAGGTTTGCTTGTTCTAGGTCTGAGTTCAAGTCCTGGATATCCTTGTTAATTTTCTGTCTCGTTGATCTGTCTAATATTGACAATGGGGTGTTAAAGTCTCCCACTATTATTGTGTGGGAGTCTAAGTCTCTTTGTAAGTCATTAAGAACTTGTCTTATATATCTGGGTGCTCCTGTATTGGCTGCATATATATTTAGGATCGTTAGCTCTTCTTGTTGCATTAATCCTTTTACCATTATGTAATGTCCTTCTTTGTCTCTTTTGATCTTTGTTGGTTTAAGGTCTATATTATCAACGATGAGAATTGCAACTCCTGCTTTTTCTTGCTCTCCATTTGCTTGATAAATCTTCCTCCATCCCTTTGTTTTGAGTCTTTGTGTATCTTTGCATGTGTGATGGGTTTCCTGGATATAGCACACCAATGGGTATTGGCTTTTTATCCAATTTGCCACTCTGTGTCTTTTGATTGGGGCATTTAGTCCATTTACATTTAGGGTTAATATTGTTATGTGTGAATTTGATACTGCCATTTTGATGCTAGCTGGCTGTTTTGCCCATTAGTTGATGCAGATTCTTGATTGTGTTGATGCTCTTTACCATTTGGTATTTTTTTGGAGTGGCTGGTACTGGTTGTTCCTTTATATATGTAGAGCCTCTTTCAGGAGCTCTTGTAAAGCAGGCCTGGTGGTGATGAAATCTCTGAGTAATTGCTTGTTCGCAAAGGATTTTATTTTTCCTTCACTTATGAAGCTTAGTTTGGATGGATATGAGATTCTGAGTTGAAAGTTCTTTTCTTTAAGGATGTTGAATATTGGCCCCCACTCTCTTCTGGCTTGTAGGTTTCTGCTGAGAGATCTGCTGTGTCTGATGGGCTTCCCTTTGTGGGTAACCCGACCTTTCTCTCTGGCTGCCCTTAGCATTTTCTCCTTGATTTCAACCCTGGTGAATCTGACGATTATGTGCCTTGGGGTTGCTCTTCTTGAGGAATATCTTTGTGTTGTTCTCTTTATTTCCTGGACTTGAATATTGGCCTGCCTTGCTAGGTTTGGGAAATTTTCCTGGATAATATCCTGAAGAGTATTTTCCAGCTTGGATTCATTCTCTTCATCACATTCAGATACACCTATCACACGTAGATTAGGTCTTTTCATATAGTCCCACATTTCTTGGAGACTTTGTTCATTCCTTTTTCCCTTTTTTCTCTATTGTTGCCTTCTCGTTTTATTTCATTGAGTTGATCTTCGACCTCTGATAACCTTTCTTCTGCTTGGTCAATTCAGCTGTTGAAACTTATGCATGCTTTGTGAAGTTCTTGTGTTGTGTTTTTCAGCTCCATCAATTCACTTATATTCCTCTCTATGTTGTCCATTCTCGTTAGCATTTCGTCAAATCTTTTTTCAAGGTTTTTAGTTTCTTTGCATTGGGTTAGAACATGTTCTTTTAGCTCACAGAAGTTTCTTATTACCCACCTTCTGAAGTCTGATTCTATCATTTCATCACACTCATTCTCCATCCAGCCTTGTTCCCTTGCTGGTGAGGAGTTGTGATCCCTTGTAGGAGGAGAGAGATTCTGGTTTTGGATGTTTTCATCCTTTTTGCACTGGTTTCTTCCCATCTTTGTGGATTTATCCTCCTGTTGTCTTTGTAGTTGCTGACTTTCAGATTGGGTCTCTGGGTGAACTTCCAGTTTGGGGATGATGAAGTTATTTCTGTTTTTTAGTTTTTCTTCCAGCAGTCTGGCCCCTCTGCTGTAGGACTGCTGAGGTCCACTCCATGTCCTGCTTGCCTGGGGATCACCTGAGCAGCTGCGGAAGAGTAAGGGTTGCTACCAGTTTCTGCTTCTGCTATCTTTGTCCCAGAAGGACACCTGCCATATATCAGTCTGTTCTCTCCTTTATGAGGTGACTCTTTGGACATACAGGGGTCAGGGAGCTGCTTGAGAAGACCGTCTGTCCTTTATTGGAGCTCAAGTGCTGAGCTGTGAGCTCCATTGTTCATTCAGAGTTGCTGGGCAGGTACATTTAGGTCTGCTGCAGCAGAACTCATAAACTCCTTTTTTTTCCCCCACAAGGTTCTCTGTCCCAGGGAGTTAGGGCTTTATTTATGAGTTCCCGTTGCACTACTGCCTTTTTTTTTTTTCAGGGCTGCCCTGCCCAGCGAGGAGGCAGCCTAGTCACAGTCTGCCTGCAGTGGCTTTACTGAATTGCTGTGGGCTCCGCCCAGTTGCCGTGTGATCTTCCCTGCAGTCCTGTTTATATGGGTATAGTTAGAACTGCCTCCGCAATGGTGGCCTGCCTCTGTAATGGCAGACTCTCTCTGTAATGGCAGGTTGCCTCGGCAACAGTGGGCTGCCTCAGCGATGGCAGACTACCTCCATAGTGGTGGAATGTCTCAGTAAAGGCAGACGCCCCTCTCCCACAGAGCTGGACTGTCCCGGGTTCCGCTGTGCTTGCCGTGAAACTCTCAACCCAGAGCGTTTTCAACTGATGTTTGTGTGTGTGTGTGTGTATGTGTGTGTGTGTGTCTGTGTGTGTGTGTGTCCAGCCGAGCATGATCACCTGACTCTCCGACTCAGTCTTTTTTTTTTAGTTGAACGGTTGACTATCTCCCAGGTGTTCCAGTTGCCTGTTGAAAAGGCACCAGGATCTGTGTCATTTCCCATGTGGTGACTCACTGCGCTGGCTGAAACAGTGGCACTGAGATTCATGGCAGTTTTTTTGCCCAGGAATCTCCTGGCCTGGCTCCCTGTTTAAGTTCCTTTTTAAATCAGATAAATGGGCGATCTACCTTCCTGGGTCTCCAATCGCCAGCTAAAAGGGCACCCGGACTAGTGTATTTTTGTACAGAGAGTCACTGCGCCAGGGCGCTGGTAAAGCAGCCGCACTGGCTAAAACAGCCATGCTGGCAACTGGTGGGGCTCCTCCACCTGGGAATCTCCTTCTCTGTGGGCAATAAAAATCTGTCTGGAAATGCGGCGTCCATTCACCCTCTGGGCTTTCACTGGGAGCTACAATCCTGAGCTGTTCCTAGTCGGCCATCTTGGGTCCTCCCCCTTATAACATCTTTTAATAATAAGACTGGTTTCTCCTCACTGGTCTTCTTTTTCAGAAGATTTTTTTTCTCCACTTACTCTTGCCTATCTGTCTAGATAAACTAAGCAGTTTTCCTTAGCTCTTATAGACCTTTTTTTCCCTCTTTCTGTCTATTCTACTTAAATTATAGAAATTTGCATATAGATGACTTTTTGAGGCCTAAAGATGAGCTCTAAGTCTAGGTTCAGTTTACCTTCTCTGAAAGTTGCTCTATCTCTTGACTTTCTTCTTCTGGGTTTCTGCTTCAGCTTTGCCACTTCAAGTGCAGTCTATTCCTGATCGATGTTGTCATCACAAAAGAGAGCTGCTCCTGTGAAAGTTCTTAGAGTCATTTACTGTTTTTGAATCTTATACATAGAATGTTCATCTTTTTCAGTGGAGTTAGTGATATCTGTAGAAGAATGGAAATTCTGAAATGTTGGCAACTACATCAGGGTTTAAAGTAATTTACTAATGCATTTACCCTCAGTAGAAGTTTGTTGTTTTGCCAGCTTTTCATATTAAATTTTTAGCATTTTAAATATTGTATTACTATAAGCTTGACTTTATTTGCATTTAGAGATCTTAACTCATTTCTGTTTTATTTTACTGAAGAACCCATTGAAAGACTCAGTAAATCCTGTGGAAAATGGCCTTCAGCGATCTTACATCGAGGACTGTGCGTCTTTATGATAATTGGATGAAAGATGCTGGTGAGTAACCACATTTCCTAATTGAGGTTCATCCTTCCTTTTTATGCCAGATTATAGTATTTAATAGGATTTCATTGGAACAAAATGAGAGACTTTGCAACTTAACAGTCCCTTATTACTAGTTAACCAAGAGGAAGTATGTGGGTTTCATTACAGATATGTACAAAGAAGGAGCTACACAGATGTTCATTACAAGGTTTACAGTGATGAAAATAGCTTAAATATCCAGTTAAGGGAAGTGATCAATAAATGTTGGCCTGTTCCAATTTAGTAACCATTAAAAGTGATTTTGGAGGGACAGTGCTCTTCGGCTTGATTCTTCCTTGGTGCTCCTGAGGGAAATTACAGTTACTGCCAGCAATGGCTCTATCCATGGTGATTCTTGAATGAAAGAGTCGCAGCCTCCAGAAATGTATCAGAGAGAACAGGGAACAGAAAAACCAGGGAACGACTGGCTAGGACACCCCTGAGTGATTCTGATATGCCTGCCTTGTACCCTTGCCCATTTATTTTAAAAGTCAATGTTTTAGAAGAACATTTAATGCCATAGCAAGGAGTTTAAAATATGTTAAATGAAAGCAGGTTATAAAATACCCCATACGTTTCTTTCATGGGGTTTAGCAGTTATCTCTGGGTAGTAGGATCTTTGATAATTTTCACTTACCTATATTTGTCTACTATTTTTACATCACAACAAATGTGTGTTGCTTTTATAACCATTTTTTAAAGTTTTAAAAGCAGAACAAATGTAAAATTTCAAAACAGACAAAGAATCAGAGCATCTTAGAGATGAGGTGGATCTTAGATATCATCAAAGCTAGTGCCTCATTTTACAGTTGAAGAAATGTGACCTCAAAGTCATGGTTAGTTGATGGCATAAAAGACTAGAACCTATGTGTTCTGATTATTAGTTGTAGTATTCTGGCATTTAGCATTTGAGTTATTTTTGAGATAACTGAGCTATGTGTACTCACCACCATCACTACTTTATGTTGGTTCTTACCTATGAACCAGAAATTGCAAGTCTACCAAATTCAGGAGGGAAATGCATCACCTCTTGGCACCTACAACAGTTGAAATTATATTCAAATTTACAATGATTTCAGCAAAGATCCACTGTTTCATGGTTTGTAGCTTTCTCAGTTGCAAAGACCAAAACTGCTAAAGACCAAATTTATTTCACTAAAAATGTTCCCAACAGTTTTTCCTTTGAGGAATGCCAAGGCTCTTTATAAGTATCTCATACAGAAGCTTCACTGTGGTAGGGAAAACATAGTGACTCTGTCTATCTTTTCCTCTTTGTTTTTTTATTTTTTTTATTTTTTCAACATAATGATACAGGGAACATTCAAGTTTCTTTGGGGGTCATCCTTCTCTGAAGGTGTACAGTAGTTCTCATAAAATCAGTATTAATTTAAATACTAATATTTTCATTGCTTTTCAAAGAGAGGTGTGCCTTGCTACCTGAACTCTCACTATTTGAACTTAGGAAGCAAGTAGATTTGGGTGCAGTTTTCGAAATAGAGTTATTTAGAAGAGCAGATCTCTTGCTGTCCAATTCTTGATGTCACTATCCCAAATAGAAGAATCCAAGAGACTCCTAGAATCCAAGAGAATCAATAACCTAACTGAAGAGCCAAACAGATGTAGACAATGATAAATATCTATGTAGTCCTAGAAGTTAAAAATGTTTTACTATGAATTTCTTTAGAATTCCACTTCCACTTTTATCCATGGATCAACTCCTTAGTTTTGATTAGGAATACCTACATTGAAATTGCTGAATAAAATTAGATCAGATGTGGAGTGGAGAGAGATGTGGAAACAGCATTGCAAATGGTGCAGGGAAGTTGAGGGAAGAGAGGCAGGAAGAAGGCAAAGAATACCTGTATTTGAAGTTATGCTGATTTGAAGATTTGGGAGGAGAGAGAGGGTATAGGGATGTGGAGTGAGAAGACCTAGATTTAAGGTCTGACAATTATGTAGCCCAGCTAGGTGACCTTACACACATTATTTATCGGCTGTGAGTCTTTGTTTCTTTATTAGCAAAACATAAGTGAGAATAGCATCTTCCAGCTACCAGATCCCATACATGAAAGTGCTCTGCTATTTCGGAAGTATCCCACCATAAATAGTGGTGCTGGTTGTTACAGATAATAGATTTCATCTGAAAATTCTCTTTATATAGTATATCACTTAAAGTTTTTTTTTTCTTTTTTCTTTTCCCAGCCATGGTCTAAAAGGGTTAAAATATTTTGAGATATACCACTTTATGAAAACCCTGTGAGGTGTAACAGGAAAATTTTTTCCTTCTACTTAGTGTAGTATTGATCTCTGAGAGCCATTAGGAATCATTTATGGCCATCTTAAGTCCAGTTTTACTTTGCTTACCCTGAAAATGTCTGAACTTATGACCAAGGGCCAAGAATTTGAAGTGTATTCTTGGCTTTAGCCCTAATCCTGAGTAGCCTAAGGAAACTTACTGATATTCATTGGTCCTGATTGCTAGAGAAGTGGTGGTTATCCATAGTTATTTCATATGGAAAAATTCCACAGCTACAGAATAAAAAATGGTTTAATTAATACTTAGCAATAAGAGGATTTATTAGGATTCTTAGATGTGAAATGTGAGATTTTGAAATAATGCTATGGTAGCATTTTTGATTATGGAGAAATGAAAAAGTTGTAAATGTTTAAAAATACAACTTTCCTTGTATTTGATTAGAAATAATGACTTTTCAAACTTAGTCATGATCGTTTTTTGCAAGAAGATGGAGTATGAGTAAGATTGCTGCCATTCTGAACCTTTAGCACTTCAAAAAGCACTAAAGATACATGTTTGCTTTTCCTTCCAGCTTCTTCATTTTATTGGTACTTGGAATCTTAAAGGCGTACTGTTTGAGCCAGTACATGCTAGTTAAGAAGAGAACACTCTTTTTTTTTTTTTAATTGCATTTTAGGTTTTGGGGTACATGTGATGAACATGCAAGATTGTTGCATAGGTACACACTTGGCAGTGTGGTTTGCTGCCTTCCGTCCCCTCACCTGTATCTGTCATTTCTCCCCATGCTATCTCTTCCCACCTCCCCACCCCCCGCCCCTCCCCCATTTCCCCCCAATGGACCCCAGTGTGTAGTGCTCCCCTCCCTGTGTCCATGTGTTCTCATTGTTCAACACCCACCTATGAGTGAGAATATACGGTGTTTGAGTTTCTGCTCTTGTGTCAGTTTGCTGAGAGAACACTCTTACAAGTAGTTGATGGAAAAGCTCATTAATATTCATGTATGTGGCATTCTACTTTCCCTGTGCTCTCTCTCTGGGACACTATTAGAAAAGAATTATTAAGCTCGTGATAAATCAGAACTTTGGTAATTATTGGGGTAAAGACTGTCAGACAGCCTGCCTTCCATCCTCTGCTTCTATCATTGCTCTACTCATGACACTTAAACCAAATCTCATGCCAAAAAGAATGTACATGAAACATCCTCCACCCCATTAGTCTTTTGTTTCTGGGGAAGACAGAGTATCTCATGCCTAAACCTAACTTTTTCAACATATGTAATGATACAGGGAACATTCAAGTTTCTTTAGAGATCATCCTTTTCTGAAGGCTTATAGTAGTTCTCATAAATTCAGTGTCAATTTCAGTACTAATACTTCATTGCTTTTCAGATAGAGGTGTGCCTTTCTACCTGAACTCTCATTATTTGAACTTAGGAATCAAGTAGATTTGGGTGCAGTTTTTGAAACAGTTTTGAAGCTATTTGGAAGAACAGATCCCCTGATACCCAACAGCTGCTATTCACTATCCCAAATGGCATCATAGATGGAGTCAGAATTAACTTTACCTGTCACCCAGCAGGTGCATTGATACTCTCTGTAACATGCCCACTACCTTACATGGAAGTGTACTCTATTCAGAAAGGTATAACTGCTGCTGTGAGAGAAGGCCAGAAGAGTGAACAATGGCCAGAGTCATGGGTGTGATCCTAATGAGTTTGCATTTTATTTGCTCAGTCAGGAAGAGCTAATTTAAGCAGAGGAAGAATTTAAGGATAGCTTGATTTTTAGAAAATGAATTTGACAATTGCATGGAGATCAATGTAGCAGATTGGATCAAGAGGCAGTGAAACCATGTAAAAGACTATTGAAGAGTACCTAGCGAGGGGTGTTAATAGCCCTAAATACAGGGCAGGAAGCTTGGTCTCACACCAGACCCCTAGCTCCTAACTATGACAGTTAATCAGGGTCACCTTCACAGCTTTGACAAGTTGTTGGCTGCTGACAAATTACAATTACATATATTTATGGGGTACAAAGTGATGTTGTGATATAGGTATCCAATTTAAAATGATTAATCTAGTTAACATATCCATCACTTCAAATACTTATCTTTTTATGGTGAGAACATTTGAAATTAATTTTTTACGATTTTGAAATATACATTATTAGCTCTAGCTCTCATGCTGTGCAATAAATTTCAAAAAGATATTTCTCCTGTTGAACTTAAACTTTGTACCCTTTGATCAACATCTCCCTATTCCCCTAGTCCCTTGGCCTCTGGTAACCACCATTCTATTCTGCTTATATAAATGTGATTGTTTTAGATCATTTTAGACTCCTGTATAAGCGATAACATGTCTTATCTTTCTGTGCCTGGTTTATTTTGCTTAGCACAATGTCTTCTAAGTTCATCCATATTGTCAAAAATGATAGGATTTTCTTTTTTAAGTCTGAATAATAGCCAATTGGTTATTTCTATCTGTATATCTACAGGTCTGTAACTGAGAAAGGCGTAACTTTAGATTGACAGATACCACATTTTCTTTATCCATTCACACATTGTTGGACACTTAGGTTGATTCTCCATTTGGCTATTGTGAATAATGCTGCAGTGAACATGAGAGTGCAGATATCCCTTCAATATGCTGATTTCATTTCCTTTGGATATATATCTACTAGTGGGATGCTGGATTATATGATAATTCTGTTTTTAGTTT